CACACACACACACACACACACACACACACACACACACACACACAAAACATAAGGTGAAATACTTTCACACCTAAAACTCATGGAGAACTTCTACTCCTTAGAAATTGAATTGCTAGTTTTAAACATTGTCAGGATTCTTAATCCAAATCATTAATTTGATCCCCAAATTATTCGTTCACTCCCACTGACAATGCAGGAAACTGCTTGTTCAGGGCCTCTTTAATGCACAGAAAATATCATGCTTGTCTAGGACTGTGCTAATTTGTTGCATGGTAATTGTGAATATTAATTTTCATTCCATTTCATTGATGGTAAGTGAGAATAAATAATGTTCATTCTGTTAGCTATTTGTACTTCCCACTCTGTGGTGTTTCTAGTCACTCCCTTCACTCTTTTTCAATTGGATCCTGATGCTTTTCTTTATGTGTATGTGCTCTTTATAAATTAAATATGTTAATTTTAACAAGCATTTTTCTTAATATAACATTTACCTTAAAAAAAACCAGTCATTAAAAAATTTGAAATCAATACTTAGGACAATATCACTCATTCCATAAGTATATTTTTATATAATATGTTCCTTGATTCTCCTTGGTTGGAAAGACTCTGTGTTCCTTTAAAAATAAAATGGCACTTGTGCTGAGCAGTAATCCCAGGATTCAGGAGGCACAGGTGAACCTCTGTGAGTTTGAGGCCAGCCTGGTCTACAGCATGAGTTTTAGAACAGACAGAGCTACACAGAGAAACCCTGTCTCAGAAAACCACACACAAAAAAAGGCACTTATAAATAAGTACAGTATGACAAAGGCTGTCTATTCATGGACACTATCGCTGGGACTAGAGTATTATTTCACAATGTTCTGCTTACTGCAAGATCTTCAAGATTTCATTAAATACTCTACAGAATATAGATTATGCTATCAAATAATTTATAAAGTAATATTTTAAGATACTTATTTGGATATTCAAAATATATATTAGCATATCAAAATTTTATATAACCATTTTCACATACTCTCTTGAAATATTTACTTTACATCTCTGGCATTTTTCTGATGAGTTTTGCATACAAAATTCTCTTTTAAAAGAGGAAATCTTGTTGCTTTCAGCATGACTTGCATTTTATTAAGTACTGGTTTCAGCAATCACAACTTCCTTTTAACACTTTATATAAAAATTTTCCCAATCTATAAGTCATCTGGAATTTTCCTGGGGATTGAAACATCAAGCTGTCTGGTTGGAATGGCCAACTCTGGAGAATCCTCTTTTCCCTCCCTTTGGAATATTAAACCATACACTACAACATCTATCACTGCAGTAGCTTTTCAATGGTAATAAAATCATTATTGCCTTTAAAAGTCTTTTCAGCACATGAGGATATAATTCTAAGAATTTTCAAATGAAGTTAAGATTCTTATTTATTGTCTAACCAAACTGGGGTTTTCATTCCATGAGCTACCATTTATTAAGTTCATATCATATCAAAGTATGTTATATTCATTATTTCATTTAATATCCTAACCTCCTGAGTATGGAGTTATTGATATTAGTAGGCAGGATTCAGATCGCCTAAGTTATAAAATATCACGACACTTAAGAGAATAAGTCAATGTTTGATACAAGGGTTATGATTTTTCTTAGATTACTCCATTCTACTTACCAATCTGCACCATTTCAATATGAAGATTATATTATTATTTTCCTTAAAGAGCATTAAGTAATGGAGCAGTCCTGTATTCCTCCTATGTTTATTCCTGGGATACCATCTCTGCTACACATAAAAAAATAAAAAGAAACACAAAACAAATCCTTCTTCCAATGTATGCTATGCCTAAAAAGCAAGCAAATGAAAGTCAGAAAAAAAGCAAGAGGAAAATCTAGAACATCCATTTGTTGTAAACAACGTTCTTCTCTTTATCTACATTAACTCTGACTTTTAATATGAGGAACAGTGTTCTTACTCCTATGGCTTCTTATCCTTAATTATATATCCAATTTCTAAATAATTCCAACACTATTAAATTATTTTTAATGAAATAGTTCAAAAAATCTTATTTTTTATTTTTAATTGAAAATAGATTCTTCTCTCATACAATACATCCTGACCAGTTTCCCCTCCCTCTCTACTCCTCCCAGCTCACACCAACCTCCCCTCTCCCCCAGACCCACCCTCTCTGTCTCCCATTAGAAAAGAGCAGTCCTTCAAGAGACAACAACCAAAGATGGCAAAACAAAATACAATAAGACAAGGCAAAAGCCCTCTCAATAAAGCTGGACAAGGCAACACAACAGGAGGAAAAAAGTCCCAAGAGTAGGCAAAAGAGCCAGAGATCCCCTCATTCCCACAGTTAGGAGTCCCACAAAAACATCAAGCTAACAGCCACAGCACATATACAGAAAATCTGATGCAGACCCATGCAGTCCCCCACTTACCATTGTAATCTCTGTGAGTTCTGTGAACTGCCATATACACCCTTCTTAGTTTACTCAGTGGGCAATATTCTCCAGGTGCCTTCTATCCCCTCTGACTCTTAAAATTTTTCTTCCCCCTCTTCCACAGGATTCTGAAAGCTCTGAGAGGAGGGATGCAATGGAGACCTCCAACTTATACTTTCTCTTCTCCTAATGTCTGGGTGTGGGTCCCTGTATCTGCTCCCATCTGCTGCCAGAGTAAGTCTCTCTGACAACTACTGAATAAGGCACTGATCTATGGATCTACAAGTAGAGCAGAATGTCATTAGGAATCATTTCATAGATTCCCCTCTCCCCACTGCCAGTTATGTTTAGGTCTACACTAGGTCTCTGAGGAATCAAATCCCCAGTACCTGGCCATCTAGGCAGTGTAGAGCATGGGCTCCCTCTCATGGCATGAGACTCAAATTAAACCAGTCATTGGTCGGCCACTCCCACAGGTTCTGCCCTATCATTGCCCTAGCACATCTTGCAGGCAGCATAGAGTGTTGGTCGAAAGTTTGGTGACAGTGTTGGTGTCCACATTTCTCTTTTGGTAGCCTACAAAGGATTTTCCCATGGCAAAGAGACTAGAAAGAACACAGGGGTGAAGGCTCCATTCAAGCACAAGCTCTGTCTCTCCATGTTCAGTGATCTGTGTGGATCCCTCAGCAACGGGACTTGACTGTCAGTTTGCAGAGTGCAGCCTTCTATCCTGACATCAGCCTGGGTTGTTTGAGGGTCTCCATGGGACCCCCTCATCCTACAACTCAACTGAATGCAACTGGAAGCCATGCCTGACTGTAAGAGATGGCTAATTGAAATTCCATATTCCCCAATTACTAAAAGTCCTCACTAAGATCACCCTCATAGATTCCAGGAAGTTTCCACTGCACTAGGTTTCCACACACACCCCCAAACACCTCTCAAATCCAGGCATCTTTCTCTGCATTCTCTCACTTTGTCCAATCTGTCCCCTACCTGATCTTTCCTGTCACCCCATCCCAGTCTACCCAAAAAAACTATTCTATTTCCCCTTCCCAGGGAGATCCATACATCACCGCTCAACACCTGCTCTTTACTTAGTCTCTCTGGGTCCAGGAATTGTAGCTTGGTTATTATTTACTTAACAGTTAATATCTACTTATAAGTAAATACATACCATATTTGTCTTTCTGGGTCTGAGTTACCTCACTCAAGATGATTTTTTTTCCTAGTTCCATTCATTTGCCCACAAATTTCATGATGTCATTGTTTTTTAACAACTGAGTAATACTCCATAGTGTAAATGTACCACATTTTGTTTAACCCCTTTTCAGTTGAGGAACATCTAGGTTATTTCCAATTTCTAGCTATTATGAATAAAGCTGCTATGAACATAATTGAGCAAGTGTCCTTGTGGTAGGATGGAGCATCCTTTGGGTATATGCACGCAAGACCGGCATAGGTGGATCTTTAGGT